TCGATATTGAGAATACCGCCAACGATCGCGGTACGCAGATTCTCCATCCGCTCAATACTGTCGTTGGGAGTGTAATCAATAATACCGTCAATATTGCCCTGGTGATGCAACTCATACGGTGAAACACCAACGATCTTTGCGCATTCCTGCCAGGATAAATTCAAGCGTCTGGCAATGTTAGCCAGCGATGCCGGCTGGATAGTGCTGAAAACACCATCACGCAAAGACAAAATCATGTTACTCGCCGCCAGCGGTATCGCACCGCCGGAATAACCCAGTCCATAGATAACACCAACCGTCGGCACGTCGACGTTACTCATCTCAGCAATGAGCCTGGATATGCTGTGTGCCTGATTGTTCGCGTTAGATTCCTCAGTGGCATCCGCCCCCGGCGTATCCATGAAAGTCACCATCGGAATCGAGCGGGTCGAACATAACTCCGCAAAAGCAGCCGCCCGCAGGTGATGCTCCGGTTGCCAGGCACCCAGATTTTTTGATCGGTCCTGAGCAATGAATCCAATCGTACGCCAGCCGGAGTCGCCAAAATTCATGCTGATCAGGGCCTGGAAATAGGGACCGCTGGCCTCTTCCTGCTCGACCTTACCAAGCTGCCGGATAATCTCCGGCGCGGGCGTACGCGACTGATCCTCAGCCGGACTGACTACCGCTTCGATATAGGCATCAATGTCCAGATTCGCAAGCACATCTCTGCGCTTGTTGATTTGCGCCTGGGTCAGCAGACCCGACACGGGCTCCTGCTCATGCGAGACATTTGGGAACAATGAAAAGTCTTTCGCGAGACTTTCGGCGATGAGATAAAGTCGATCGCCTTCAATAATCTGTTTTTCCACGATATTTTTGCTGGGTGTAGAATGCCGGTACTCTAGCCAGTTAGCGCCGAGAAAACTACCCGTTCGTCGGCTTGTAATGAGCACATAAACCTTCAACCACCCGGGGTAATATGACTATGACCGCACTGAACTGTGCCGTATTGACGATATCTGACACGAGAACCGCAGCAGAGGACACCTCTGGCGAGTATCTCAGCGAGGCGATTACCGCTGCAGGCCACGCCCTTCACAGTCGCGAAATCGTGCAAGACAACGTCTATCAGATACGCGCCAGGATGTCCGCGTGGATCGCTGACCCAAGCATTGCAGTCATTATCACCAGCGGTGGTACGGGTTTTACCGGGCGGGACAGCACGCCTGAGGCCATCTCCCCGCTTCTGGATAAAGAAATATATGGTTTCGGTGAGCTGTTCAGACAGCTTTCCTTCGATGAGATAGGTTCATCGACCATCCAATCCAGAGCCCTGGGCGGCCTTGCCAATGCCACGCTGATATTCTGCCTGCCAGGCTCTACCGGCGCTGCAAAAACCGGTTGGGAGAAAATCATCCGCAATCAGCTGGATGTTACCTTCAAACCCTGCAACTTTGCCGAGCTGATACCGCGCTTTCGCGAGCAATAGTGGCCTTGTGAGACTGGCCCTTGGCCACCCGGGCCAGTAACATGCATGTTTTCCAACGCATATTTTGAAGGAGCGCCTGCTAGTGAGTAACGACGTTTATCTGGTCAGTGCCGCGCGCACACCTGTGGGAAGCTTTCAGGGACAACTGTCCAAATTCACCGCCCCGGAGCTGGGTGCCCACGCCATTGCAGCAGCCATTCAAGCGGCCTCGGTAGACCCAGCGGATATTGACGAAGTTGTTTTTGGCAACGTGGTCAGCGCGGGCCTCAAACAGGCCCCTGCCCGACAGGCTATGCGCACCGCCGGACTACCTGATGCGGTTGGCGCGACAACGGTCAACAAAGTCTGTGGCTCCGGCATGAAATGCGCCATGCTGGCAACGGACCTGATTCGGGCGGGCTCTGCCGACCGGGTTATCGCGGGCGGAATGGAGAGCATGAGCAACGCACCATACGTGCTGGGAAAGGCACGTGCAGGACTGCGCATGGGCCATACCAGCATGCAGGACACCCTGTTTCTGGACGGTCTGGAAGATGCTGAAACCGGCGGATCAATGGGGTCTTTTGCACAGGCCACAGCCGACCAGTATCAACTCACCCGCACCGCCATGGATGACTATGCCACCGAGTCCGTCACCCGGGCGCGCGCGGCAATTGTGAACAAAAGCCTGGCGGATGAAATTTCCCCCATGGAAACCGCTGGAGGTTTAGTCGAAGATGACGAACAGCCCGGCCGCGCCAAGCTGGAAAAAATCCCCACCCTGCGGCCAGCTTTTAAAGCTGATGGCACCATCACCGCAGCAAATTCATCGTCCATATCAGATGGCGCATCCGCCCTGCTGTTGGCCCGAGAAGGCACGTTCACCGGCGAGCCGCTAGCGAAGATCGTCGGGCACACGACACATTCCATTCACCCTAGCGAGTTCACCATCGCACCGGTTGGAGCAATCAACAAACTGGTCGAAAAAATCGGTTGGGACCTGCATGAGGTTGATCTGTTTGAAATCAACGAAGCTTTTGCCATGGTCACGATGCTGGCTATCCAGGAGCTCAACCTCGACCCCAAACGCGTTAATGTGTTTGGCGGCGCCTGTGCCCAAGGTCATCCCATCGGTTCCACCGGCAGTCGTCTTATCGTGACGCTTGCCCATGCCATGAAAAACATGAATAAAAAGCGCGGCATCGCCGCTTTATGCATTGGCGGTGGTGAAGCCACAGCAATTGCTCTGGAACGTCCTTGATTCCACTCCCCGTCATTGTTGGCTTCGGCGGCATCAACCCTGCTGGTCGTCTGTCATTTAACCATGCTTACCGGCGCCTGGTTATAGACGCGCTGAGCGAGCACAAGCAGGCGCGCACCTACGCAAGCCTGGCTCAGATAATGGCGCTGGATGACAACCAGGCAAGCAAGCCACAAACCCGCCAGTACATCACCGATCACACGTTAATCCGTCGTATCGAAGGATTCGACCCAGACAAAGTAAACTGGCAAACCAACGCAACACTTGCCGGCAGCATGGATACACCGCTGTCTTTTGTTATCAGCAAACGCCAGTTACCCGACACAATTCCCGACGGCTGGCACGTTAAAGACCTTGACGACAAACAGGTTCACGTTAATGCTGACAAACCACTGGACGTTCTGTTGCCGCAGCTTCGAGCCTCTCGGGTCACCAGCGCCGGTCAACTGCCTACTGGATTTGACCCCGGCAGCCTTTATGCAAGCCGCAACCACCCGCGCGCTTTACAGATCACCGTGTATGGCGCGTCAGATGCCATACGCTCTTCCGGGTTTTCGCCTGCACAACTCAAGGACATGGTGCAACCGGATCAGATTGCAGTGTATTCCGGCTCAGCAATGGGTCAGTTGGACCAGGAATCTTATGGTGGTTTGTTACAGAACCCTCTCACTGGAAGACGGCCCACTTCCAAACAGATCGCACTGGGCTTGCCTGAAATGGCTGGTGATTTTGTCAACGCATATGTACTGGGCTCCGTGGGAGAAACTGCAGGCATCATCGGCGCCTGCGCAACCTTCCTGTACAACGTCAAACGTGCAATGGATGATATTCGCAGCGGCCAGAAGCGCATCGTAATCGTTGGCAACGCCGAAGCGCCGATCACACCCTATGTCATCGAAGGTTATCGCACCATGGGTGCTCTGGCGGAAGATGAAGCGCTGATGTCCCTGGATGGCACAGACACGGTGAACAACCGTCGCGCTTGCAGGCCGTTTTCAGACAACGCGGGATTTACAGTGGCGGAATCATCCACCTGGGTTGTGCTGATGGACGACAGGCTGGCGATTGAACAAGGTGCTCAGATTCTCGCCTCAGTCGGTGATGTTTTTGTTAACGCCGATGGCTACAAGAAATCGGTATCCGGGCCCGGTATCGGAAACTATGTAACGGTGGCCAAAGCCATGGCAGCTGCGCGCGCCATGCTGGGAGAAAAGACGCTGCAGCACGGCACTTACATGCAGGCACACGGCACCGGCACCCCACAGAATCGCGTCACGGAATCTCATATTTTCGATTCTTTAGCGGCTACTTTTGGCATCGACAACTGGTTAGTTGGCGCTGTCAAAAGTTACCTTGGTCATTCCATGGCCCCCGCCGGCGGCGACCAGTTGAGCGCCATCCTGGGCGCCTGGCAAGATGCCATTGTGCCCGGCATCACCAGCATTGATCATATCGCTGAAGACGTTCACAACACCAGACTGAACCTCGCCATGCAGCACACCCACATTGACCCGCAGGCCTTTCCCGGCGCGTTTGTGAATTCCAAAGGCTTTGGCGGCAACAATGCGACAGGTTTATTTTTATCACCCGCGCACACCCAACAGATGCTTGAACGCCGCTGGGGACGCAAAGAAATGGCTCAATACGCAGCGCTTAACGAAGCCGTAAAGCAGCGCGCAACAGCCTACGATGATGATGCTGACAATGGCTCTATTCTGCCCATTTATCAGTTTGGAGAAGGCGTTCTGGAAGGTTCAGATCTGGGTCTTTCTGACACGGCACTGCGCATACCTGGGTTTGCTGAACCCATTACCCTGCCAACCGTTAACCCGTATCAGGACATGAGCGAAGGATCATCTGACCAGTAAAGGCAAGCACTCTGAGCAAGCATTGTTTCAAGCCCTCCATGCTAGTGTAAAATTTCGGTCCGGCGACGCAGCTGCTCAACTCTTTCCTGCGCCTGCCGCGCCAGTTCGGGCTCGATAGTTTTTTCGGCGCACTGCGCAAAAGCCTGAGCGGCAACAGCGTAGGCACCCAACTGAACCCAGCATTGGCCACGTTCATATTCTAAAGTAGCCACCAACGCATCGTCTGCCACACAAATGGCAACCTGATAATCGATGATATCCAGAGCACCCGACCATCCCTGTTTGGCCATCTGCAACGCTTTTAAATTATTTAGCATGCGCAGCACAAAACTCTGCGGGCTGGCGGGCTGCAGGTGTCGGGCAAGATCAGCGGGTGTATCTCCACGTTTTAATAAATGCGCTTCATCCACAATCTGCAGGCTCAACGGATCAACCAGTCGACCTTCAAGGTTAACCAGAAAATGACCTGGGTAATTCACACCCCAAGCTGACAAACCACAAGTGCGGGCCACGGCAATGAGCACAACCGCCAGAGAAATAGGGATGCCCTGCCGATTCTGCAACACCCACCCAAGATGGCTGTGGTGCTCCGTGATCTTTTGTTGTGGCTGACTGGGCTGGCTGAAACCGGCTTGCTGCAGAGTTTGCAGAACGCCATCGACAACATCCGCATCACTGCGATCTACACATTGTGCAAGGTCGTTCAGCGAAACCTGCATACGTTGCACGAACTGTGCGGGGTTCTCAGGTGGATCTATAATCTGTGCAACCAACAACGCCAGCTCTACTTCGCTGCCCTGACGACCTGCGGCATCTACAATCTGCAAGGTCAGTGCTTCGGTCGATACCACGATGGTTGTTCTACGCTGCTGCCTCTCAGGCGAGCAAAGCGTCTACGGCTTTAATCAGTTCGGTGCGGGCAAAAGGTTTTGCAAGGGTGGCGTTAGCACCAATAAATTTTGCAGTTTCAAGGTAATCGTTAGGACCAAGTCGACCGCCGCCAGAAATAGCGATGATCGGCATCTGCGCATACTGCCGTCGAATATCGGCAATGGTCTCGAGGCCTTCCTTCTCTGGCATGATCAGATCAGTAATGACCAGATCGAAGACGTCTTTACTGACACAATCAACAGCCTGTTCACCGTTTTCAGCAACGGTGACCTGATGGCCTTCAAGGCGCAACATTTCGCTCATGACATCCAGAACTGATGTGTCGTCATCTACCAGTAGAATTGCACTCACCAAAAACCCCCACGGTTGTTCTTTTTGCTTACGACTTCACCCCGTTACCCGGGCTTTGCTGTTCTGGAGTGACGATAAGTACCCGACATGTGAACGCCCCCAGTCACTGAAGCATAGCTTAATTACGCGAACACTCCAGCGACTTGTGCGCCGGCGAAGTCACTTAATGCTCACGGGTTTTGGTAAACTTCACATCCGGCCAGCGCTCTGTCACCACCTGCAGGTTGACCCGGCTGGTTGCCAGATAAGTCAGGTAACCACCACCGTCTATGGCGAGGTTTTCCTGGTTCTTATTCTTAAAATCCGTAAGCATTTTTTCATCTTCACACTGTACCCAGCGGGCAGCGGCGATGCTGGCGTCTTCCCAGATACATTCCGCGCGATATTCGTCCTGCAACCGATAGGCCACCAGGTCAAACTGGAGGACGCCAACTGCGCCTACAACAATCTGATTTTTGTTGAGCGGAAAGAAAACCTGGGAAGCACCTTCTTCAGCAAGCTGAGTAATACCCTTTTCAAGTTGCTTGGAGCGCAAAGGATCTTTCACCCGCACTCGACGGAACAGTTCAGGGGCAAAATTTGGTACGCCTTTGAATTTCAGCGCCTCGCCTTCAGTGAACGTATCACCGATCTGGATCGTGCCATGATTGTGCAAGCCAATGATGTCACCTGCAAATGCTTCTTCAGCGTGGGTACGATCACCCGCCATAAACGTGACTGCATCGGTTATTCTGATGGACTTACCCAAACGCAGATGCTGCATTTTCATGCCCTGTTCATAGCGACCCGAGCAGACCCGCAAAAAAGCAATGCGGTCCCGGTGTTTGGGATCCATATTCGCCTGTATTTTGAAAACAAAACCTGAAAACTTGTCTTCACCAGGATCAACCAGACGTTCCATGCTCTCACGAGGTTGGGGCGGTGGTGCATAAGTCGCAAAGCCGTCAAGCATCTGCTGGACGCCAAAATTTCCCAATGCAGTGCCAAAATAAACCGGCGTCAGCCCTGCTTTTAAAAAATCTTCGTGATTAAACGTGTGGCTTGCACCTCGTACCAGTTCAATTTCATCACATACGTCAGCGTAATCATGTCCCAGCAATGTTTTGGCTGCATCGCTGGCCAGTCCTTTGATCACGTTGAATTCATAAACATGATGCCCCTGTCCCTGTCGGTATTCGATAATTCGATCATTGACCAGATCGTATATGCCTTTCAGACCACGCCCCATACCAATGGGCCAGTTCATCGGTGCACATTCAATCTGCAGAATGTCTTCGATCTCGTCCATGACTTCTATTGGGTCGCGAACTTCACGGTCTAACTTATTGATAAACGTAATGATTGGGGTGTCACGAAGACGACAGACTTCCATCAATTTGATGGTTCTTGGTTCCACACCTTTGGCACCATCAATAACCATGAGCGCGGAATCCACTGCCGTCAGCGTTCGATACGTGTCTTCAGAAAAATCTTCGTGCCCCGGTGTATCAAGCAGATTGACTGTGCGGCCCCGATACGGAAACTGCATCACTGAGGTGGTCACGGAAATACCCCGCTCCTGCTCCATCGTCATCCAGTCAGACATCGCATGGCGGTCCGTTTTACGGGATTTAACTGCACCAGCAAGCTTGATGGCATTGCCGAATAACAGCAGTTTTTCGGTCATGGTTGTTTTACCCGCATCCGGGTGCGAGATGATGGCGAACGTGCGCCGATTTTCTATGGCGTTCTGCACAGGATGAATAACCTGACACTCTAAGCGTAAAAATAAGGGCCGCAGTATAGAGGCCGTATCACTTTGAGCAACCGAAACTGTCAGCTATACGTGCCTGCACAAGGCAACGCCATCACCAGCGCATCTTCCCGCCCATCTTCTGACTGATAATAATCTTTGCGCAGACCCACCTGTACAAAACCGAGGGAAAGATACAGGGCAATGGCGATTTTATTGCTCGGGCGCACCTCCAGGAACATTGTCTGCGCGCCCAACTTACCAACAAGTTTTATAAGGTGATGCATAAAGACACGACCCAGACCATTACCCTGGGCATCACGCTGAATACAAACATTCAGCAGGTTAGCTTCACCCGCTGCCACGGTTAACACCGCGTGTCCAACAACACGCCCATCCAGGCAGGCTACCCGACAGATATTCCGTCCTCGAAAACAATCCATAAAGATGCCTCGGGACCAGGGAAATTGATAAGCGCGGGTTTCAATTTCGAGCACCTGATCGAGGTCGGTGAGAGACATCTCCCGGTGGGTTAGCCGATCTGCTGGAGTGTTTTCCATATCTGCTTCTTCAACGCCGCATCGGCAACACTTTCATTCCAACCTGGCAGGACAAGTGCTTTTTTCTCCGCCTCGCCTGGCAAACATTGACGCAACCAGGGCAGCAGATCGTCCGCCAGATCATCCGCCACCAGAAACCAGGGGCATTCATCAGGAAAGTGCTTTTCAATAAACACACCCAATGCCCGCCCAGGTGTCCCGGTTGTTGTATCCAACAGCTGCGGCCACTTAAACTCGCCGGTCTTAAGTGAGCTTGGCGCACTGTGTTGTGTCCGCCAATCTGCATAACGGAGCACATCCTTGGCATGCGCAATGATTGCCGCACTGGCAGCGCTACTGAAAACAAGCATGGATGCTGTGCCTTTAACCCAGACAAATTCCAGGGGTACCGGCGGTGGCTCTGTAGCCGATGTTGTGGGTGTTTCCACAGTTGTCTTGACTGGCGCAGGCACGGGCGCAGGATCGGGTCTATCAGGCACCGGCAGGGAGGGCTTCAACGGCGGTTCCGGAGCAGACTCCGGGGTCTCACCCGCTGCTGGACGCAGATGCCAGACCTGTATGCCCATAGCGGCCAGCATCTTTGATCGTCGAAGATCCAAAATCTGCGGTTTTTCCTCGCCAGCCATGAGTTAGAATTCGCCTCCTATTTGCCAACTAATAAGCCCAGAACATATGCAATATCTCACTGACGACATTCGCATCACAGGCATGCAGGAAGTCATTGCGCCAGAAACGTTGATGTCACAGCTGCCCATCACCGCGCAGACCTCTTCCCTGGTATTCAATACCCGCGCCGAGCTGGCTCGAATTGTACATAAACAAGACGACCGCTTGCTGGTGATTATCGGACCTTGTTCTATTCACGATCCACACGCCGCCATCGAGTACGCCAAACGCCTGCGCGATTGTGCCGCCCAGTACAAGTCAGAGTTGCTGGTGGTGATGCGCGTTTACTTCGAAAAACCAAGAACCATTGTTGGCTGGAAAGGCCTGATCAATGATCCACATCTGAACAACTCATTTGAAATCAACGAAGGTCTGGCCATTGCACGTAAACTCCTGCTGGATATTAACGCTTTAGGGATTACCGCGGGCACTGAATTCCTTGATCCGATATCGCCTCAATATGTTGGCGACCTCGTCAGCTGGGGTGCAATTGGCGCACGCACAACCGAAAGCCAGATTCATCGACAATTGGCATCCGGCCTGTCGTGTCCTATCGGCTTCAAGAATTCTACGGACGGCTCCACCCAGGTGGCTGTGGATGCGATTCGTTCTTCGGGACATTCCCACATATTCCTGTCGGTAACAAAAAAAGGCCATTCAGCCATTTTTTCCACTGCCGGCAATCCAGATTGTCACATTATTCTGCGTGGCGGTAACAGCGGCACAAACTTCGATCGCAAAAGCATTGATCAAACTCAGGAACGCCTTGACACCGCTGGCATCAACAGCGGCGTGATGGTGGACATGAGCCACGCCAACAGTGAGAAAGATCACAATAAGCAAATGCAGGTGTGCCATTCAATCTGTGGCCAGCTGGCAGACGGGAACCGCAATATTGTTGGGGTGATGGTAGAAAGTAATCTGGTAGCCGGTCGCCAGAATATTCAGTCAGAGCCTGACAAATTAACCTACGGTCAGAGTATTACTGATGCCTGCATTGGCTGGGAAGACAGCGAAAAAGTCCTGGCAGAACTCAGCCAGGCGGTGATTGCACGTCGCGCCGCAAGCTGAAGCGCGGCCCCGCCCCTGCCGACCAACGTTCAAAACACAGCAGCACAAACCAGAGACTGTACAGGGCGACTTCCAGGTAGCCGTCGCGGGTGAGCCACGCCAGGTGCACCAGCGCAGAGCCTATAGCGATATAAATAAGTTGATGGAGCTGCTGCCAGCGTTGGCGCAGGCGGCGTTGCCAGCCACGGGTTGAAGTCAAGGTCATGAGGAGCAGACAAAAGAACGCGACCATGCCGGCGGTGATGTAGGCGCGTTCAACAAAGTCTTCAAACAGTGCCTGCCAGGACAAGCCCAGATAGAAAACCAAATAGCTGGAGAAATGCAGAAGCACATAACTGAAGGCAAACAAACCAACCATGCGGCGACTGCGCAGCCACCCGGAATAATGTGTCCAGCGACGCATCGGCGAAATTGAAAACGCCACCAACACCATCACCAGAGACCACTCACCCAGGTAATGGACCAGGGTCTCTCCTGCATCCGGCCCCAAACCGCTGCCAGGCTGGTCTAAATCAAGCTTGACCCGCCAGGCCAACCAGACCAGTGGCGCACTTAACAGCGATGCCAGCAGCACCTTGAGAGTAAGTGCCGCCTTCAATAGTACTTGGCGAGGTCCATACCTGCGTACAAATCTGCCACCTCATCAGCATATCCGTTAAACGGTAGCGTCGGACGTGTGTTCGGATCAAACAATGTACTTGGCAGGCGACGCTCACTCGCCTGGCTCCAACGAGGGTGACTCACAGCAGGATTTACATTCGCGTAAAAGCCATACTCATTCGCTGCCAACATATTCCATGTATTGCGCGGCTGCCGCTCCGTAAAACGTATGCCAACAATAGATTTGATAGATTTAAAACCGTATTTCCAGGGCACCATCAAGCGCCAGGGTGCGCCGTTCTGATTCGGCAGCGTCTTTCCATACATGCCTACCACCATAATTGTCAGCGGGTGGTATGCCTCATCCAGTCGCAGCCCTTCGACATACGGCCAATCGATGCCGGAAAAGAAACTGCGTTGCCCGCGCATCTCGGATGGCCGTACCAGAGTCTTAAACTCAACATATTTGGCATTACCGTTGGGCTCAAACTGCTGCAGGATTTTTTTCAGGGGAATACCCATCCAGGGCACCACCATGGACCAGGCCTCAACACAACGAAACCGGTAAATACGTTCTTCTACCATCATGCCTTTGATAATGTCGGCGTATTCAAACTCGCCGGTTTTGCCCGCCTCACCGGAAACTGAAACGCGCCAGGGGTCGGTGGTGAGCTCATGGGCATATCTTGCCGGGTCGCCTTTGTCGGTACCAAACTCATAAAAATTGTTGTAGGAGGTAGCGATTTGTTCCGGCGTGATATCATCGTCAGGTTGCAGGCCAGCAACAGCTGGCGAGGCAAGTGAGGCACCAGCAGCGAGCACAGCGCTGTTCTTCATGAACGCCCGCCGATTCAGGTAAATTGATTCCGGCGTTATTTCGGAGCTGGGAATGGGCGCGGGTCGGTATCGGGACATTGGCTGCCTGCGGGTCTGGCTGATTTGTTTGTTTAGGCCCTGCTCAGCCTTTTAAGTTCCGTCTGCGGATCCGTTTCCAGGTATACAGCACAGGACCGGACAACGCATAGGTGATGGCCAGGAACAACAACACAGTAGGCGGATCCACCATAAGAATGGAGAAACCCAGCACCACAAAAACCATCGTGACAAAAGGCACCCGGTCTTTGAAGTTCAGCAGTTTGGGTGAAAAATAGGTGAAGTTCGATACCATCAACAGTCCCGCCAGCGTGGTGACGGCGGCCATGATTCCGGAACCGATGACGCCGGGTACCCCACCGCCGTATTCGACCCAGGCCCAGATGCTGCAGGCAATAATCGCAGCGGCTGACGGGCTGGCTAATCCGGTAAAACTGGCGTTATCACCCTTTGTATTAAACCGTGCGAGGCGTAAAGCGGCACAGGCCATATAGACAAAGGTGGCGACCCAGCCAAGTTGCCCAAGACTGGAAAGGCCCCATGAGAAAGCAACCAGAGCAGGCGCTACACCAAAAGCCACCATATCCGACAAACTATCGTATTCGGCACCAAACTGGCTTTCGGTATTGGTCAGGCGTGCAACGCGGCCATCCGCAGTATCAAGCGCCCCAGCGACAAATATCGCCAGGCAGGCCGCAACAAAATTACCGTTCATGCCTGCGACAATGGCATAAAACCCGGCAAAAAGTGCTCCGGTGGTGATGAGATTAGGCAGTAGATAGATACCACGCTTGCGAAAGCGTTCGCGACGACTCATATGACCAAGCGCATCCGCTTCAGCACCGGCTGCATCGTGGTTATCGCCATTTTCGCCTTCCGGCTCGCCATACTCTTCGACCTCAGGCACCACCCGCAAAGATTTATCTTCTGGATCAGACATGTTTCACCTGCGCAGTCGTCTGTTTTGGGGTGCGCGCAGTGCGCACCTCTGTTCATTCCCGTACACCAGGTAGAAGATGCCTCTAAACGGCGGCTTTGTCTAATCGGCGCAACGGTTAGTTGACGTCTTTGTCGACCAGACGGTTTTCCTGGATCCAAGGCATCATACCGCGCAACTTGGAACCCACCTCTTCTATTCCGTGCTCTTGAGAGATGCGCCGCATAGCTTTAATGCTGGGCGCCCCAGACTGGCTTTCCAGAACAAACTCTTTCGCAAAACGCCCGGTCTGGATTTCTTCGAGAATTTTTTTCATCTCTTTTTTCGTCTCGTCGGTGACAATCCGAGAACCGCGGGTAAGACCGCCATATTCAGCTGTATTGGACACCGAATACCACATGTTGGCGACGCCACCTTCGTAAAACAGGTCAACAATCAGTTTCAGTTCATGCAGACACTCAAAGTAGGCCATTTCTGGAGCATAACCGGCTTCCACCAGCGTTTCGAAACCCGCCTGGACCAGGGCTGAAGCGCCACCACACAGGACGGCTTGCTCGCCGAACAGGTCTGTCTCAGTTTCTTCACGGAAATTCGTTTCAATGACACCTGCGCGACCACCGCCGTTAGCGCTGGCGTACGAAAGCGCAATGTTTTTCGCCTGGCCGGTTGCGTCCTGGGCCACCGCAATCAGGCTTGGCACACCACCGCCTGCCACATAGGTGGAGCGCACAGTATGACCGGGGCCTTTGGGTGCAATCATGATCACATCAAGATCTGCACGCGGCTCAATCAATTCAAAGTGCACATTAAAGCCATGGGCAAACGCCATCGCCGCGCCCTCTTTAAGATTAGGTTCGAGATCGTTCTTATACAACGCTGGCTGCAGTTCATCCGGCACCAGGATCATGACCAGGTCTGCACCCTGTACAGCGTCTGCAACTTCAGCCACTTTAAAGCCTGCGTTCTCCGCTTTACGCCACGAGCCTGAACCTTTACGCAGGCCTACCACAACCTCACCCACGCCGGAATCGCGAAGATTGTTAGCATGTGCATGGCCCTGTGAACCGTAACCCACAATGACAACTTTCATTTTTTGAATCAGCGAAAGGTCAGCGTCTTTGTCGTAATAAACTTGCATGGTATTTTCCCGTTTTAAGGTGTGCTTATGTAATAGACGCCCAGCAACGGTACGCCCCTACTCTCTCTAAAAATTTCTAGCCTAGATGGATAAAACGCGATCGCCGCGCCCTACTCCGGAAACGCCAGATCGAACTACTTCCAAAATTGAGGCTTTCTCAATAGCGCGTAAAAACGCATCCAGTTTGTCGCTCGGTCCGACTAACTGAACGGTATAAGTGTCTGCTGTGACATCAACAATCTGTCCACGAAAGATATCTGCGGTGCGTTTTATTTCCTGTCGCGCAGCACCACTGGCACGCACCTTGATCAACATCAATTCACGCTCTACATGATCGCCTTCACACAGGTCCATGACCTTCACAACCTCAACCAGCTTATGCAGCTGTTTGGTAATCTGCTCTATGGTTCGTTCATCACCCGCGGTGGTGATGGTAAGACGCGATAAGGTCAGGTCTTCAGTCGGCGCCACTGTCAGCGACTCGATATTATAGTTGCGCTGGCTGAACAAACCGATAACCCGCGACAGAGCGCCCGCCTCGTTTTCTAATAAAACTGCAAGAATGCGACGCATCAGACGTTCTCCGTCGTGAGCGACTTGCTGAGAATCATATCTCGCATCGCACCACCTTTAATGGCCATAGGATAAACGTGCTCTTCAGGATCCACCCACACATCTATAAAGACAAGCTTGTTCTTCAGTTCCGCCGAAAACGCACGCTCTAAAGCCGGCTGCAACTCTTCAACGGTCGACACTTTAATACCGACATGACCAAAAGCCTCGACCAGGGTTTTAAAGTCTGGTAACGAGTCACTATAGGTGCTTTGTGAATGACGACCACCATACTGCATATCCTGCCACTGCTTCACCATGCCCAGAGCCTGATTGTTGAGGTTGAGGATTTTTATAGGCAGACCATATTGCAGGCAGGTAGACAACTCCTGCATGTTCATCATGAAGCTGCCTTCGCCGGTAACGCAGACAACCGTTGCATCAGGGAAACCCATCTGCACACCCATGGCTGCAGGCAGGCCGAACCCCATGGTACCCAGGCCTCCGGAGTTGATCCAACGACGTGGCTCAGGGAAGTGATAATACTGGGCAGCAAACATCTGGTGCTGGCCGACGTCTGACGTCACAAACGCATCACCTTTGGTGATTTTGTACATTGCCTGCATGGCCAACTGCGGCAGGATCCGCTGTCCGGGCTGCGGCTCGAGATCATGATTCAAACCATGGCTGTCTCGCCATGCATTAACAGTCGCCCACCATTTATCAATACGCTGACTGCGCTTTTCTTTCACCTCAGCAGATTCGCTGGCCAACTCCTTGGTGATTTCAGCCACCATACCCGCCAGCACCTGATCTGCGCTGCCTACTATCGGGATATCAGCTTCAATAATTTTTGAGATCGAAGCGGGGTCGACATCTATGTGAATAATGGTTGCGCTGGGTGAGAACTTATCTGGATTGTTGGTCACCCTATCATCGAAACGCGCACCAATTGCACAGATCAGGTCAGCTTCGTGCATCGCCATGTTGGCCTGGTAGGTGCCATGCATACCGAGCATGCCAATGCACTGCGGGTCTGCGCCGGGAAAAGCGCCAAGCCCCATAAGCGTATTGGTCAGCGGATATCCGAGTAAACCCGCCAGCTGACGCAGGTTATCGCAGGCTTCACCCATGATTACACCGCCACCAACGTACAACACCGGGCGCTTGGCTTTCAGCAGAGCGCTGACAGCTTTACGAATCTGACGACCGTTGCCTTTACCCGCCGGATTGTACGAACGCATCTTGACTGAGGTTGGATAGGCATACTCGGCCAGCACTGACGGGTCCGTTGTATCCTTTGGCACATCAATAACAACAGGTCCAGGGCGCCCGGTAGAGGCCAGGTGAAACGCTTTTTTCACAATCCCAGGGATATCTGCCGCCTGCTTCACCACAAAGCTGTGCTTAACCACCGGCCGGGAAATGCCGACCATATCGGTTTCCTGAAAAGCATCTGTGCCAATCTGATCCTGGGGTACCTGTGCAGAAATGACCACCATCGGCACACTGTCCATATAGGCGGTTGCAATCCCTGTGATCGCATTTGTTGCGCCAGGGCCTGAGGTGACAAGTACCACACCGGTTTTGCCCGTCGCTCGGGCATAGCCGTCGGCCATGTGGGTGGCGGCCTGTTCATGACGCACCAGCAGGTGTTCCACTTTCTGCTGTCGGAAAATTGCATCATAAATGTGTAATGCGGCGCCGCCAGGGTAACCGAAGACGTATTCAACGCCTTCGTCCTGCAACGCACGAATCAACATATCGCCACCAGACAACATGTCTGCCATTGTGGAACCTCTACTGCCGTTTAGTTAAATAGCGCGAATTCACGATTGTCGGGGCATCTGCGAACAGCGGAAGTCGCGATAACCCTTTGATTTGCCGATGTTTGTGCAGAACAACCTGCCCAGCACCGGGAAACGAGCGCCGTATTCTTGTGATATCGGCCCAGTATGTCAATGAAACTGAGAGCCAGGTAACATTTTCCCGGCATTGTACAGTTGCACAAGCACACCGTGTGTTATTCTCAATCCAAGCCAGATCTGCAGCTGAAAAGAGTCCAGGATGACAAAAGTAGCCTTTCACATGTTCATTTGCTCATGCGTCTTCATGCTGAGCGCGCTTGTATCGATACCCAGCGCTGCCGATACTTATCGCTGGGTTGACGACAACGGTGTGGTCAATTACGCCGAACGTAAACCACGAGGCGTGCCTGACAGCCGCATTACCCGCGTAGCCAGCGTGACAACCCGAGCCGGAACTAGCAGCAGCCGGGCACCGTCCAGTTCACCAGCACCCAGTTTTACGCCACAGACTCAGAATCAGGTTGAACTCACAGGAGATCAGCAGGAGATGCTGCGGGGTCTGCAACAGGCTGAAGTAGATCGCCAGGCGCAGGTTGCTCAAATCAAACGGGATAACTGTGAACGCTCCCGCCGGGTACTGGCCAACCTGACCGCCAAGGACCGCATTCGCGTCCGCTCCGAAACCGGTATAGAGCGCGTTCTGCCCGAAGAGGAACGGCAGGAAAAGATTGCCGCGGCTCAACGCGGCATTGTGGAAAACTGCAACGCCTAGAAAAACGCCCCGGATATCTGGCTGCGGCGGTTAATCAAGCCGCGCAATGATGGACGCCATCCGACCTGTCACCCCATCACGGCGAAATGAATAGAATCGCGGATCGGCAAAACTACACCATTCGGATAAATAAACCTGTTTCACGCCGGCTCGATTGAGCTGCAACTGCGCAACCCCAGGCAGGTCCAGGAAGCGCTTACCGGCATCATCAGGATGAGGCTGCAGACATGCTGGAAAATCAGCTTTGAACTGGCCCCAGACGTCTTCTCCCACCTCATAGTGCTGGGCACTGATACATGGGCCGATCCAGGCACAAAGCTGTGACGGGGGCTGCCCCATCGAGGTTAAGGCGTGCTGCAAAATCTTATTGTGCAGACCCCGCCAACCTGCGTGTACTGCCGCTATTGCCATCGTACGTTCGGACCAGAGTAAAATCGGTACACAATCAGCGGTTAACACCGCCAGAGCCAGACCGGACTGTGTTGTCCAGGACGCATCCGCCTCGGGCGGCACGTCGAGATCTGCAGTGGGCGCTTTTACACAGTTCTGTCCATGGGTCTGATTCAGCCACTGCACCTGTCTGTAACCGAGTATCCCTTTCAGGGTTCTGCGATTTTCGTTCACGGCGCCTGCATCATCACCCACGTGCAAAGCCATATTCGACTCAGCATAGTCACCCACAGAGACGCCACCAGTTGCCAGCGTACAACCCACCAGCAAACCTGGAGGCAAAGGGACCTCAGCTGTCTGCCACATGGATGAGCTAGCCAACGTCCGCCTGCAAGCCGGCGACTAATCCAGCAAAATCCTCAGGCCAGGTAGCCTCAACCTCCAATTGCGCTTGGCTAATCGGATGCTCAAAGGCGATTCGCTTGGCATGTAACGCCTGTCGAGGAAAATTCTGCATCAGATGTATCAGTTCCGGCTCACAACCCGGCGGTAGCTTGCCGCGTGCGCCATAGCGTTTGTCCCCTACCAGGGGATAACCAATACTCTGCATGTGCACGCGGATCTGATGGGTACGGCCTGTCTGCAGGCGCGCATGGACCAGCGTGTGCGCACGGTATCGCTGCAGCACACGAAACTGAGTCTGCGCGGGTTTACCCTCTTCTACAATCGCCTGACGGGTGCGTACGTGAGGGTCTCGGCCTATCGGGCGATCCACATCGACGCCGGCAACCATTCGTCCTTCCGCCACACATTCATATTCACGGCTTATTTTGCGCTGTTCAATCAAGCGGGACAGACGCAGCTGGGTGAGTTCATCCGCAGCGATCACCATGACCCCACTGGTATCTTTGTCCAGGCGATGCACGATGCCAGCTCGTGGCAGCCGGCTGAAGGCGTCACGATGGTTCAACAAGCCGTTCACGAGGGTACCGGAGGGGTTACCCGCGCCGGGATGCACCACCAACCCCGCCGGCTTATTGATCACCAGCAGATGTTCATCTTCATAAAGAATATCCAGCTCGATGGGTTGAGCTTCCTGCCAGGCTTCACGCACCACGCGCTGCGCCCGCAGCGTCAGATGCTCGCCACCACGCAACTTTTCACGCGGTTTAACAGCCTTCCCGTCCACTGTAAGTTCACCTGAAGTGATCCAGCGAGCCAGCTCTGCGCGGGAAAAATCTGCAAACAGATGTGCTGCAGCTTTGTCGATACGCTCCCCCGCCTGCTCAGCCGGAACCACTTTATCTTCACTAATACTGTCCATGCGGTTGCAACCGAATCAAATTTGTAAAGAATAGCGCCATCTTAACCCTTTTCGTGGCCCGTTATTTTGATCCAGCAACACGATGTTCGCACCCGATCCCCAAAACACGCTTTTTCAATTGCACTTTTAGTGGTTTTCACCACTGCGCTGGGCGCGTGCAGCTGGATGCCTTTTATCGGCGGAGACGACGAACTGCCGGACATTACCGCAGAAACCAGCGAGCAGCGACTGTATCGTGATGCCCAGCGCTATCTTCGTTCCGGCAACTATCAACAGGCCATTGGCCAGCTGGAATTACTGGAGGCACGCTTTCCCTTTGGCCGTTACGCTGAACAGGCTCAACTGGAACTGATCTACGCACGCTATCAGTCATTTGATCTGGATGGCGCAACGGCGGCAGCGGATCGTTTTATTCGCCTGCATCCCCAACATTCGAATATCGATTATGCTTTCTATATCAAAGGCTTATCCGGCATTAGTAAAAACGAAGGGTTGATGGATAGACTGTTCGAAATAGATATCTCCAAACGTGATATGGCACCCATGCGAGCGGCCTACGCCGACCTGGGCCAGTTATTGGCCCGCTATCCGAACAGTCAATATGCTCCGGATGCAACTCAGCGCATGATCTATCTGCGCAACATCCTCTCCCGCGCCGAGATTGCGGTCGCCGACTACTACATGCGGCGCGGCGCGTTCATTGCCGCGGCAAACCGCGCTCGATACGTACTTGAGACCTATCCTCAATCAGAGGCGACGGACGAAGCGCTGCTGGTCCTGGTGGAGAGCAATTATCGGCTCGGTTTACAGGACGAAGCCAACAACGCCCTGCGCATTCTGTCGCTGAACTATCCGCAACATCCAGCTTTCGACGAAGGTGGGAATCTGGTGTTAACCAATACCATCCGCAATCGCGATCGTTCATGGACAAATATAATGACCCTTGGCCTGTTCGATCGACCTGAGGTGCCACCACCGCTTCGAATCGTGCACCCCGAAGGATTCACACCGCCTGCCGTCGAGCCACAACCGGGTAGTGAGAAAGAAAAAAGCCGGGGCTGGTTCAGCTGGTTACCTTTTATCGGCTAAACTTTCGCCATTGCAACCACCGCAACCACCGCCGCTGCGGGGATTCATTTGAGCACACAGAATACGGACATCATCGCTGAGATCGAACGCCGGCGCGTGGCCCTGAGCACCGGCCTGCTGAACATCTATAACTATTACCGGATGTTCATCGGCCTGGCGATTCTGGTGGCCTACCAGCAGGATCTGTTTGCAACGAAACTCGGTTCTTTAGAGCCCCGCCTGTTTCTAATCACCGCAGTCATTTACACCGGCGTAAATGTCGCATCAGCACTATTCCACCGTTTTGTACCCAGAGCCTGGGGACAGCAGCAGAATTTAAGCCTCGGTCTGGTAATTTTTGATGTCTTGTCCCTGACGGTCATCATGTTTACCTCAGGCGGTATCAGCAGTGGCGTCGCAGCGCTGATCCTGATCACCGTCGTCACCGGCGCAATTTTAGTCACGGGGCGTCGTGCCACCTTCATCGCTGCCCTGGCCAGCATTGCAGTGCTGTACGAAGAGTTCTACCTGCGCATTTCCACCAGCAATGCTAACGACGATTTTCTGCAGGCAGGAATTTTTGGGGTCATCTATTTCGCGGCATCGTTTACGATTCAAAGACTGTCCAATCGGATTCGTCAGAATGATATCCGCGCACTGACCCAGGCTGTGGAACTTGCGGATCTGGAACGCCTCAATCGACAGATCATCCAGCGCATGCGTACGGGTATTATCGTCGTCGATCAGAACAACGATGTGCGCATGCTCAACCAGTCAGCCCGCGCTTTAATGGGCACGCAAAGCGAAGACAATCTCGATCATTTACCCGCCCCGCTAAATGATGCGTTAAGCGCCTGGCGCGCCAACACGGATCGTCGTGAGCAACCCTTCCAGATTTCCGCAACCGCACCTGCGATCCGGGCCAACTTCTCGGCGGTACGCAACGACGACGCCAATGGCGACGTGACCATTTTTCTGGAAGACACAGGCGAGATCCAGCAACAGGCTCAACAGCTCAAACTGGCGGAGCTGGGCCGTCTGTCAGCCAGCATTGCTCACGAGGTACGTAACCCATTGGGCGCTATCTCCCATGCCGCTCAGCTGCTTAACGAATCCGAAGAGCTGCAACCCCCTGATCAACGTCTGACAGACATCATCATCAGCCACTGTCATCGTATGAATGGCGTGGTTGAAAACGTTCTGGAAATGTCACGTCGGGCCAGACCCGAGCCTCAGCGGGTGAATCTGCTCGACCATCTAAAGGAGTTCTCGGAGGCATTCTGTCAGTCCCAGCCGGAGGCCAGGCTGGAAATTGCAGTGACGCCTGCAACGACAGAAATACGCATGGATCCTAATCAGCTCAGTCAGGCACTTACCAATCTCGTCGACAACGGCATTCGCTACTCAAAAGAGAATGGCAATGGTCCAACGGTGCGTTTGGAAGGGGGTATGGACCCAGGCTCCGGTCGCCCATTCTTAAACATTGTGGATAACGGTCAAGGCGTCGAGGACGAACTGGTTGACAGCCTGTTTCAGCCGTTCACAACCTCTTCGCGCAAAGGCACCGGTCTGGGCCTGTACCTGTCCCGGGAGTTGTGCGAATCAAACCAGGCGCAATTAAGTTATGCGCCTACAGAATCCGGGGGCAGCTGTTTTCGAATTCTCTTTGCCCACCCGAACAGACTCACTGCATGAACCAGATGGATCACGGAAACAGGCAGAGTAAGCCTGCTATAAATAACAGACGGACAGATCAAGGTTATAAAAACCATGGCTCTTAAACGCGCACTTATCATCGATGATGAACCCGACATACGTGAATTGTTAGAGATCACCCTCGGCCGCATGAAACTGGAAACCGTGACCGCCGCAGATCAGGCGGAGGCGCTGGCGCGACTGGGCGAACAGACATTTGACTTGTGTTTGACGGACATGCACTTACCCGATGGTAACGGCTTGGAGATTGTTGAACACATCAACCTGCACTACCCGGACCTGCCCGTCGCGATGATCACTGCATTTGGCAGCATGGATACCGCCATTGCGGCATTAAAAGCAGGTGCTTTTGACTACCTGCAGAAACCCATTGACCTTGAACAGCTGCGCAGCCTGATTGACTCCGCGCTGAAAATGAGCGATCTGCAGGAGAATACGGACCCTGAAGCGGACGACAGTTTACTTGGACAGTCCGCAGCAATGGGTCGTCTGCGACAGCAGATCAACAAGCTGGCGCGAAGCCAGGCACCTATTTACATCAGCGGCGAGTCAGGCTCGGGTAAAGAAGTGGCCGCACGTATGATTCATTCTCAGGGGCCACGCAGCGCTGGCCCATTCATACCTGTCAACTGCGGCGCTATCCCATCGGAACTGATGGAAAGTGAATTTTTTGGCCATGTTAAAGGTAGTTTTACGGGTGCAGTCAGCGACAAGGAAGGCCTATTCCAGGCGGCAGGCACAGGAACGTTATTCCTTGATGAGGTCGCCGACCTGCCGCTGGCCATGCAAGTGAAGCTGTTACGCGCGATACAGGAAAAAGCCGTTCGCCCGGTGGGTTCCCAGAGCGAGGACCTTACCGACGTGCGTATCTTATGTGCAACCCATAAAGATTTAAGCCACGAGGTCGACAGCGGCCGCTTTCGGCAGGATCTATATTATCGCCTCAACGTCATCGAGCTGCGCATCCCGGCGCTACGCGAACACCTTGACGACATCCCTGAGCTGGCCAATGCCTGCCTGCAACGCCTGGCACAGGAATACGGCAGCAGTGCACCAGTGGTAACTGACGACGCGCTGGCCACGCTCCTGCAGTATTCTTTTCCAGGCAACGTTCGTGAACTGGAAAACGTACTTGAGCGCGCATTTACCCTGTGTGAAAACAATCAGATTGCGCCAGCGGATCTACAATTGGCTAACACTCACAGTGCTGCACCGCCACCAGCTGCCGCTGAACGTCGTCAAGACAAGCCATTTATTGAAACACCTGATGAAGTCTCCGAGCAGCTTGCAGAAGCAGGCGATGACAGTATTACTCTGCCGCCTGGAGTCAGTCTGGAGGACTATCTGGAAGGTATTGAACGAGCGCTGATTACCCAGGCGCTGGACGCCAATCGCTGGAATAAAACAGCCGCCGCAAAGGACCTGGGTATTACCTTCCGAGCGTTGCGCTATAAACTGAAAAAGCTCGACCTGGAATAACCCACACCGCGGGGCTACCCTGACCTACAGCCACTGCAATCCTGCACCGGCATGCTGGGTTCATGTGCAGATTACAGGAAGGCTTCACACTGCTGGAGCTGCTAACCACTATGGCTCTGGCCGCAATCATCATGGCCTTCGCACTCCCGGGTATGCAGACACTGGTGCAGTCTCATCAGGCCAGAAGTGCGCTGCAGGATCTACGTGCTGGCATACATCTGGCCCGGCAGACGGCGATTAACAAAAATGTCAACGTTATCATCTGCCCACGTCTAGGTGATGTCTGCGGACCGCGCAACACCTGGCGTGCCGGCGCAATCATATTCGAAGACCGCGACAACACCCGCACACGAACCGCAGCAGACGTCATCGTGGGATACCTTAACCCCATCAACAGCGGGCAGATTTACTGGCGCGCGTTTCGCAGCCGCAGTTATCTGCAGTTCAACGGCTCAGGACTAACGGATTGGCAGAACGGTAACCTTCTGTATTGCCCGGACAGCGGCGATCCAGTGCTGGCACGTCAGCTCATCCTGAATGTTGCCGGACGCACGTATCCGTCACGAGATGCAGATGGCGACGGCATTCATGAAGATGCACGAGGCAGAGACCTCAACTGCAGTTGAAAGGGTTTGCTTGGCTAAGCGGAAGCAGGGTCCTCCACCGACAGAACCGAAACATCAAAAATGATGTCAGTGCCGCTCAGGGGATGATTAAAGTCAACTTTCACGGTGTCATCAAAAACGGCGACAACAACGCCGGGCAGTTCGCCATCTGGCGCCTGAAAGGACACCACCAGGCCTTCCTCCAGAGGCTGTTCACCATCCATCTGCGCAAAACGAGCACGACTGATAAGCTGCACATTTGCCGGGTTCCTCTCGCCGAATGCTTCCGTCGCTGGCAGCACAATCTGCTCAGCGAACCCCGCCTGTTTACCCAGCAGGACTGCTTCAAAACCAGGCAGCAGGCTGCCATCACCCATAGTAAAAGTAGCCGGTTTTCCGTTTCGGGTGGTGTCGATTTCTTTTCCGCCGGGCTGCAGCAGTGAAAAGTGCAGGGTCACAGTACTGGTAGGACCAATTTTTGTATTGCTACTGGCTATCAACTCATCCATCACTGTCCGCACTCATCTGCTTTTTACTTTGTCGGTGTTCCACAATCATCACTACAATCCACAACGCCGCCCCGCAGAAAAGCGCTGAATCCGCGACGTTAAATGCGGGGAAGTAATAGCTGTCGTAGTGAAAGAGAACAAAATCGACCACATAGCCATGGTGGATGCGATCGATAAGATTGCCTATTGCTCCGCCCAGAATCAGACCGTAGACACAGCCCATGACGCGCTCATGTTTTTGCAGACGACTGATTTCATAAACAATGAAAGCAGAAAAGCCGATAGCCAGCGCGACAAAAAAATAGCGCTGCCAACCACCGGCACTGGACAAGAATGAAAACGCAGCACCTTCGTTATGCCATCGCACCCAGGCGAAAAATGGCAGTACCTGCACACGTTCCTGATAGGCCAGTACGGTAATGACCCAGAGTTTTGTCAGTTGATCCAGGGCTATAACCAGCGCCGATAACAACAGCCACTTGATCATTGTTGCGCAAACCACTGTTGAGCATGCCCCAGGTCGCGCTCTATCTGTGCCTTCAGCAAATCAATAGAATCGAAGGCACACTCATCACGCAATTTATGTTTGAAGGTGACCGTGAGCAGTCGGTTGTAGAGGTTACCCGCGTAATCAAACACGTGAACCTCCAACAGGGGTTCCTTGCCGTCCACTGTGGGACGTACCCCTATGTTGGCAATGCCCTGCCTGATCACAGGATCATGTGGACCTTCACCAGCGCCTTCTACGGTGACACAGTAAACCCCTTCCAATGCCGCTTTGTAGCGCTGCAGACGTATGTTTGCCGTAGGCACACCCAGTTGCCGGCCCAGTTGGCGGCCATAAACCACTCGCCCCATGATGAAGTATTCATGGCCCAGCAATTCAGTCGCCTGGGCAAAGTCTCCAGTGCCGAGCACAGCCCGCACACGACTGCTGCTGACGCGTTCGCCGCCGATATCCAGGGTCGGGGTCTGGCTGACGCCAAACCCCAGCGCTTCACCCGCGTTACGCATGAACGTGTAATCGCCCTCACGCTTGCGGCCAAAGCGAAAGTCATCACCGACAATCACATGTTTGGCGCCCAGACGCTGATGAAACAGGTCATCGGTAATCCAGCTGGGCGCTGCTTGAGAAATTTTCTCGTTGAAAGGCAGCAGCAACAAACGGTCGAGACCAGTGCGCTGCAGCAGAGCTACTTTTTCCCGCAGACGTGTCAGACGGGGTGGCACGGAACTGCCAGCAAAAAATTCCCGTGGTTGAGGTTCAAACGTGACCACCATGCTGGGCACGCCCAAACGCGTGCTGAATTCCTGCAGGTGGTCGAGGAGCATCTGGTGGCCTTTGTGGACACCATCAAAATTGCCCATCGTGACGACGTTGCCAATGTGCCGCGCTTTGAGGTTGTGAATGCCGTGAATAATTTCCATCGCGCCGATTATAGGCAATCTGCCTAAGCAACGCTCATGTGTTTGAGATGTTTTGTGCGCACGCCAAGCAGGACTAAAACACCCGCATATAAACCGGCCCCTACTGCGCTGATACCAACCACCCAGAGGATACGCAGCGCTCCTGACATCGCCAGCCATTGAAACTGGGCACTCACATAAATCAGCAATCCCCCCAGCAGCGAGGTGCCGATGAGTGTTTTGTACAACATCGGCCAGAGACTCGCAGTTGCCTGGTAAAGACCACGGCGGGACAAGCCAATGTACAGCAGCAGCACATGGGACCAGGCGGAGATCGCTGTCGCCCAGGCAAGACCCACATGCCCAAACCAACTGAAGGTCGACAGACTCACCGTCAGGTTAACCGCGACAGCAATACTTGCGTAGCGAAACGGTGACTGGGTGTTTTCATGGGCAAAAAACGCCGGTGACAGGACTTTGACCAGCACAAAACCAGGCAGCGCCACCGCAAACATCTGCAGTGCCAGACCAGCCATACGAATGTCGTGGTTAGTCATTGCGCCGTTGTCAAAACTCATAAATAACGTTGCCAGCAACGGCTGCGCCAGAATATATAAGGCCACAGCTGCAGGCAGCGCCAGCATCAGACCCAGATTCACACCCCAATCCAGGGTGGCACAAAAGTGTTTCTCATCAGCAGTGGCCGCCATCCGGGACAGGTGCGGCAACATCACTGTGCCCAACGCAACCGCCACTAAACCAACAGGCAACTCAAGCAACCGATCCGCGTAATACAGCCAGGAGATACTGCCGGTGATAAGGGTCGAGGCTAAAATAGTGTTAACCAGCGCATTGATCTGACCCACCGATGCAGCCAGGACCGCAGGCAACAGCAATTTGCCCACCTGTCGTACACCCGGATGTTTGTGGGCATAGGTCGGCTTTGGCAGGAGTTTCAGCCGGGCAAGGGATGGCAGTTGAAACAACAATTGGAAAATACCCGCCACCAGCACACCCCAGGCCAGGATTTCAGTAGCCGGCAACAGGGACCAGCCCTGCAGAGCAATGACAGCTGCCCCGATCAAGGTCAGATTCAACAGCACCGGGGTGAATGCCGGGAGCGCAAAGCGATTGTGCGCATTGAGCAGCGCACCTGCGTAAGCCGTCAACGAAATGAAACCCAGATAAGGAAAGGTAATACGCACCAGCTCGCCTGTCTGCTTGAGCACACCAGGCTCATCAGCAAACCCAGGAGCAAACAATAACGCCAGCTGCGGCGCAAGCAGCACGCCAGCGCAGACAAACAGGAGCAGTGCTGAAGCAAAGAAACCGGACAAAGGTGCAATAAACCCAAGCAGATCATCAACGCTGGTATTTTTGTAGCGGATAAGCACGGGCACAAACGCCTGATTAAATGCTCCTTCGGCAAACAAACGGCGGAAAAAGTTGGGGATTCGCAGGGCGACAAAAAACATGTCTGCCATCTGGGACGCGCCAAACAGGTAAGACAGTACGATATCGCGCAACAAACCGCTGATCCTGGACAACAGGGTCATAGCGGCAACGACGCCGCCCTGACGGGTCATATTCTGCGATGTTTCGTCAACAGCCTCTGTTGGGGCTGTGATTACTAAGCTGTCACGTGAGTCTTTAGTTGACATCTACCTACTCGAGCGGCATATTGCCGCCCTCAAAAATTATGCCCCCTGTTGGAGGATTTCTTGGCTAACAGTGCACAGGCTCGTAAGCGCGCCAGACAATCAGAAAAAAGACGCATTCAGAATGCAAGCCAGCGTTCAATGGTTCGCACCTACATTAAACGCGTAGATGCTGCCCTGGATTCCCAGGATGCCGCTGCAGCCGGCACCGCGCTCGCTGACGCTCTGCCTCTCATCGATAAGATGGTAACCAAAGGCATCATGCATAAGAACAAAGCTGCGAGGCACAAGTCTCGTTTGAACAAAAAGGTCAAAGCGCTCTCCGCCTAGACCACCACAAGATTATCGCGGTGAACCAGCTCTGGTTCACCTACGTAATCGATCCGCTGCCCAAACTGTTCAGAATGGGTACCTGCAAGCCGAGTCACTTCGTCACTTGAATAATTAGTCAGCCCCTGAGCGATCACCCTGCCGCCTGCATCCAGCATGCGCACCATGTCGCCGCGCAGAAAAGAACCCTTAACACTCACCACACCGATAGCAAGCAGGCTGACGCCTTGTTCTGCGACCGCTCTAGCTGCACCTGCATCGAGCACAAGATCGCCTTTCGCGCGCAACTGACCCGCCAACCAACGTTTGCGCGCGGTCATTGGGGTCAAATCTGCAGTTAGCAGCGTACCGACATCGGCACCTGCCAACACCTGCAACAGCACATTGTCCTGGCGACCAGACGCGATGACCGTATTAGCACCAGAGCGCGCGGCCAGACGCGCAGCAGAGAGCTTGGTCAGCATTCCACCTCTACCCATGGCGCCTGCACCAGCAGTCGCCAGCGCATCGAGTGCCGGCGCCTGTGCGCGACTATGGGCGATGCGCCGTGCCCCTGCATCTACCCTTGGGTCCGCATTCATAAGCCCTTCTACATCGGTCAGGATCACCAGCAGGTCGGCCTCAACCAGGTTGGTCACCAGTGCGGCCAATGTATCGTTATCGCCAAAGCGTATTTCGTCGGTCGCCACGGTATCGTTTTCATTGATCACCGGTACAACATTGAGCTGCAGCAGTTGCGAAAGGGTTGCCCGGGCATTCAGATAACGTTCGCGATCAGCAAGATCGTCATGGGTCAACATAATCATTGCGGTGGCATGGCCGTGTTCAGACAAAGCGCTTTCGTAGGCCTGGGCAAGCCCCATCTGCCCTACCGCAGCGGCGGCCTGCAACTGATGGACAGCTTCCGGACGACGCGCCCAGCCAAGCTTGTGACAGCCTGCTGCTACTGCGCCAGAAGACACCAGAATCACGTCGATATGCTGACTTTTCAACTGCACAATCTGTTCACAATAAGCGTCAATTTTGTGCCGATCCAAACCGTGTTCCGGATCGCTGAGCAGGGCGCTGCCAACCTTCACGACTACTTTCTTGACCCGGGTCAGCGAATTGCGCACCTCACTCATTGACGTAGATCACCTCAACACCGCCATCATCATCATCATCGAAGTCGTCGTCATCGTCGTTGTGGCGTTTGGCTGCGCGCATTTTCTGTGAATGAGCCAGCACATCGTCGCTGATACGCTGCTGCAGCTCTTCGGTATATTGAGCAAACGCTTCATCTTCGATCAGACGACGCTGATGGGTTTGCAGGGCCTGCATAAGTGCGCGGGTGAGTTCGATCAGGCCGACGTCACCCAGGGCAGAAATGCAATGAATCGGACGACCTGGAAAACGCTTTTCAAAACGCTGTTTCAGTGCCTCAAGCGCATCGTCTTCCAGTTGATCAACTTTCGACAGAGCAATCCAGATGGGCCGCTCCATCAGCGCGCCACTGTACTGCTGCAATTCAGCTTCGATGGCCGCTGCATTTTCCTCGGGATCGCTGCCGTCTTCAGGTAATACGTCTACCAGATGCAAAAGAACCCGTGTCCGTGCCAGGTGGCGCAGAAACTGGGCACCAAGACCGGCGCCTTCAGCGGCACCACTGATCAGGCCCGGTATGTCTGCCATCACGAAGCTGCTGTCGGTGCCGACGCGCACAACACCCAGGCTCGGCACCAGCGTGGTAAAGGGATAGTCGGCAACCTTCGGATTAGCCGCTGACACCTGCCCTATGAGGGTCGATTTGCCTGCATTTGGCAGCCCTAACAGACCAACATCAGCCATCAGCTTCAATTGCAGACGCAGCCGTCGCTCTTCACCAGGTTTGCCTGGCGTAGTCTTGCGTGGGGCTCGGTTGGTGCTGGACTTGAACGCAGCGTTACCTACGCCACGATAACCGCCTTTGGCGACCAGCAAGGTCTCCCCCGCAACGCTGAGATCACCCAGGGTTTCCTGGGTTTCATCATCCACCACGGTGGTCCCAACCGGGACCTTGATGTAACTGTGCTCACCGGCGGCGCCGGTTTTGTTGCGCCCGGCTCCTGAGGCACCATTCTGAGCTTTGTAGCCTGGCTGATAACGAAAATCGATCAGTGTATTGAGGCTGCTTTCCGCCACCAGGAAGACGTCTCCACCATCACCGCCGTTGCCGCCATCCGGGCCGCCTTTGGCAATATATTTCTCACGCCGGAAGCTCAAGCAACCGTTGCCACCTTTGCCTGCCTGGACACGGATCGATGCTTCATCAAGAAATTGCATGGTATTTTTCGCTTAGCTAAAAAAAACCCCGCATAAGCGGGGTTTATCTGATTCTGCCGGCGCTTATGCCTGTGGAACGACACTCACGGTGCGACGCTTGAGTCGTCCTTTCACCGCGAATTGTACGTGACCATCGGAGGTGGCGAAAAGGGTGTGGTCTTTTCCGCAACCGACATTGGAGCCAGGATGAAACTGGGTGCCGCGCTGACGCACGATGATATTACCGGCGGTAACATATTGTCCGCCGGATTTTTTCAGACCCAGGCGCTTGGATTCTGAATCGCGACCGTTACGGGTACTGCCGCCTGCTTTCTTATGTGCCATCTCTAATAACTCCTGGTGCGCTAGCTGATAGCGGTGATTTTAACTTCGGTAAACCATTGACGATGGCCCTGCCGACGCATGTAGTCTTTGCGGCGCTTGAACTTGATGATGCGGACTTTTTTGCCGCGATCAGTTCGAACCACTTCGCCGGTAACCGCGCTGCCTGCAACAAATGGTGCACCGACGTTAACGTCGTCACCATTAGCAACCATCAAGACCTCATTGAAGACTACTTCTTCACCGGGCTCGGCTACAATTTTTTCTAGCTTCACAACATCGCCTTCACTGACACGATGTTGTTTGCCGCCACTTTGGAAAACCGCAAACATAACTCTACTCCTGAGCTGCCGCAGGCTGTATTCTTAAACCTGTCGGGCACTTGGGTGCGCAATAAACTGGGTAAAAAAAACCCGGCTGAGCCGCCGATTTCAGGGCCCCTGCGCGAAAGGCGCGTAATTCTAAGGGCAAAGTTTTTGGATTACAACGAGTTAAGTTGGCCTAAAGTCATTTACGGGCCACCTTCATGCCCACCCTTTGCTAAAAGACAGGTAAAACAGGACAGGTAAGACAGGACGTATGAAAAGCGCAATCAGCTCCTCCGTGAGTCGAAGTGCGGGTGAAATCAGCGCCCTGGCACCGGTTTACAGCCTGGTTCAAGAAGATTTTTCTGCCGTAAACACTTTGATTCCGCAAAAACTCACCTCCGTCGTGGGTCTGGTAGAAGAGATCGGCAGCTATATCGTTGAAAGCGGCGGCAAACGCTTACGCCCGTTGATGGTGCTGTTGGCTTCCGGTGCCCTGGGCTATCGTGGCGAAAAACACATCAGCGTCGCTGCGATAATCGAGTTTCTGCACACTGCCACCCTCCTCCACGACGATGTGGTTGATCATTCAGGTATGCGTCGCGGGCGTTTAACCGCAAACGAAAAATGGGGTAACGCGCCCAGCGTACTGGTCGGCGACTTCCTCTACAGCCGCGCATTTCAGCTGATGGTTGAAGTAGGCAGCATGGAGATCATGGAAGTACTTTCCCGAGCCACCAACACAATTGCCGAAGGTGAGGTTCTGCAACTGACCAATGTTGGCAATCTGGCCATTACTGAAACGCAATATCGTGAAGTGATCCGCTGCAAGACCGCACTTTTATTTGAGGCCGCAGCACACACCGGTGCGCTGGTGGTAGAGCAACCCAACCCGCAACATGTCGATGCGTTGCGCCAGTTTGGCCAGCATTTTGGTATTACCTATCAGCTGGTTGACGATTGGCTCGATTACGCTGGCGACAGCAAACTGCTGGGCAAAAACGTTGGCGATGATCTCGCGGAAGGTAAACTGACGCTGCCATTAATATTTGCGTTGCAGAACAGCTCTGCAAATGATCAACAGATAATCGAAGGCGCCATCCGCGAAAAAAGCGCCGCTCAACTGGCTGACATAGTCACAATTGTGCAGGAAAGTGGCGCGCTTGATTATACCCATCAGGCCGCTGTTGCTGAATCTGAGGCAGCCCTTGCTGAACTCGACAAACTACCGCAAAACCAACATGTAGATGCGATGCGTACCGTGACGCAGTACAGTACTGCTCGCCTGTTTTAGTTCACATTACATTTATGTCCATTTCCGTTTTTCGCCGGCTATACCGGCTAACCGTCTTCGCCACAATTGTTCTTCTGAGCAGACACGCTTTTGCGGCCATTGATTTTGAACCTTGTTATGTCACGGGTTCAGCAGGCAACGGCAATTTACAAGCCCAGTGCGCCACCTGGACACGACCACTGGACCCTGCTGATCCAGATGGTCCTAGCGTACAGCTGTTTGTCACAAAACTCGCATCAACCGCGTTACAACCGGCGGCGGATGCCTTCACCATCATCAATGGTGGGCCCGGCGCATCTTCTGTACAGATGATGGTCGACCTGGCGCCTGTGCTGCAGGCCTTCACCCGAGAACGCGACGTAGTGGTTATTGATCAG